CCTGCGCAAGGCCGGCACGCAGATCGAGAACATCGAGGAGGATTTCCGCAACGGCCTCAAGCTCATGCTGCTGCTCGAGGTCATCTCTGGTGAGCGGTGCGTCCCGGCGCGTCCCCCTCCGTGTCACCATGTCCCCACTGTGTCACCGCGTCCCCGTGCCCGCAGGCGAGCGGCTGCCCAAGCCGGACAAGGGCAAGATGCGCTTCCACAAGATCGCCAACGTCAACAAGGCGCTGGACTTCATCGCCAGCAAAGGGGTGAAGCTGGTGTCCATCGGGGCCGAGGGTAGGGCCACCGCGGGCACGCGGGGACCGTGGGGGTCCAAGTGTCCCCCTGCGCCCGCCCGACGCGGCGCTCGCTGTCCCCGACGCAGAGATCGTGGACGGGAACCTCAAGATGACGCTGGGGATGATCTGGACCATCATCCTGCGCTTCGCCATCCAGGACATCTCCGTGGAGGGTGAGGAGGGACACGTGCCCCGTGGCCACTGTCCCATGGTCCTGCTGGTGGCCTGTGTCCCGGCTCCATCCCTCTGTGCTGTGTCCCATGTCCCACATCCTTCCCCATAGCCTGCCTTGTGCCCAATGTCCCTTGTCCAGTGTCCCATGTCCTTCCCCGTGTTCCTTGTCCAGTGTCCCATGTCCCACATCTTCCCCATATCCTTCCTTGTATCCCATGTGCTTCCCCATGTCCCTTAGCCAGTGTCCCATGTTCCACACCTGTCCCTGTGTCCCTTCTCCAATGTCCCATGTCCAACATCCTTCCCCATACCCCTCCTTGCATCCCATGTCCTTCCCCACGTCCCTTGTCCAGTGTCTCATGTCCCACATTTTCCCCATATCCTTCCTTGCATCCCATGTGCTTCCCTATGTCCCTTGTCCAGTGTCCCACACCCTTCCCTGTGTCCCTTGTCATGTCCCATATCCTTGCTTGTATCCCACATCCTTTCCCATGTCCCTTGTCCTATGTCCCACACCCTTCCCCGTGTCCCTCGTCCCATGTCCCACATCTTCCCCATATCCTTCCTTGCATCCCATGTCCCTTGTCCAATGTCCCATGTCCCACACACTTCCCTGTGTCCCTTCCCCGTGTCCCTTGTTGTGTCCCATATCCTTGCTTGTATCCCATGTCCTTCCCCTGTGTCCCTTGTCCAACGTCCCATGTTCCATATCCTTTCCCATGTCCCTTATCCAGTGTCCCATGTCCCACATCCTTCCCTGTGTCACTTGTCCAATGTCCCATGTCCCACATCCTTTCCCATGTCCCTTGTCCCATGTCCCACACCCTTCCCCGTGTCCCATGTCCCCCCCAGGACCCCTCTGACCCCACCATGTCCCCTCCCGCAGAGACCTCGGCCAAGGAGGGGCTGCTGCTCTGGTGCCAGCGCAAGACGGCTCCGTATCGCAACGTCAACGTGCAGAACTTCCACACCAGGTGGGGACACCTTGGGGACAGGGGGACATTGAGGGGACACAGGAACACCATGGGAGACACCATGGGGACAGGGGGACACCGGAGGGGGACATGGGGACACCAGGAGGGACCCGAGGACATCATGGGGGACACGGGGACACCATGGGGGATACAGGGACACCATGGGGACAC